TGCGGCGGCGGGGGAGGGACGGAGGAAGAAAGGCGGGAATTAGGAGACGCGGGCTGGGGTTGGTTTGGCCTTGGAGCGGAGTGTGGGGTGGTGACTTGAGCTCCATGGACATCCCGGCTTTGCAAGCCTGAGACCGTCCCCGGGTTAGGGGGTTGCAGAGTCTTGGCCGTGCATCCCAGCCTTAAGTGTTAGGTTTTGGGCTCTCATTTCTGGATTGGCGAGTGGGAGAGTATAAAGACAAAACTTGGGGCTTTGGGGTCTTTTGCTGTGATAGGATCAGTAGAGGAGAGGCGGCCACTCTAGACCTAGGCAGGAAATTGCAGAAAAAATTGATCTAGGAAATTAGTGGCCCTAGAATTTAGGTCTCCTGATACCCAGTTCTTTTTCTTCCGGAATGCACCTCCTCGAGGTAGCTTTCGTTTTGTTTTGTTTGGAGTTTTCGGAAGCCTCTTCTGCAAAGAGCTGTAGAATTGGTTGCCAACTTTCCATGGGCTACTAGGAGCATTTGATCTTTGTTCTCTGACGTGGCATTTGTGAATGCACTTTGAAAAATGTAAAATGCTTTACACGTGTTATTTATAATTTTTATTAATAAAGAATGGGGTGGGGGTGTTGGTGTACTCGATGTCACCCATCATGGGAGGGAACGAGCTTTGGAGTTAACTCTGTGTTCTGGATTGCCAGATTGCAGCTGTGTCCTTGAACACTGCAGCGACTGAAGAGAAAGGGTCAGAACTCCAGATAGCAATGTCAGTGGCCTTTCCCATTGTACGCTGCAGAGGACTCTATTCCTAGACTCATTCAGACCTTAGTTTTAGGGAGCGATATCAGAGAGGCTTCCCAGAAAGACAATCCTGATTTCTCAAAGCCCCTTTTCTTTTACAGCCCTGCTTTTCCAGGTCTTTACTTGATTAGGTAAGATGGCATTAAGAAGGAGAACTTGACTATTGACATCTGACTACATTGTCTTCGATGAGCAAAACTTTTCAAGGCATTTGTACCTTACACTGGGTTTAATTTATAAAGTTACCACCTGAAGTTTGCAAATCTCTTAAATTGCTCATAATTTTTATGTACGTTACATGTATACAACTATGCAGTAACATATGTATAAATGTACCCAAATATGTTCTAAGCCAGTTGTCTCCGATTATTTATTGAATTTCCATCCTTCCCCAAATATTTGAATGCCCCCTTTATCATATATTAAATCCCTATAAAAGAAAGGACCTATTTTTAGACTTTTTATTCTGTTTTATTATTCTTTCTGTCTATCCTCTTTTAATTAACATAGCTGTATAATATGTATTGATATCTAGTATGGATAAATCCCTCATTTTCATCTTTTTTATTTTTCAAAAATATATGTTATAGAGATTAAATGGGAGGAGATATATTAGTCTCTTAGGGCTGCTATAACAAAGTGCCACAAACTAGGTGACGTAAAACAACAGCAATTTATTGTCACACAGTTCTAGAGACTAAAATCCAGGGGTCGGCAAAGCCATGCTGCTTCTGAGACCTGTAGGGGAATCCTTCCTAGCTTTTGGCAGTTTGACTTCAGTCTTTGGTGTTCCTTGGTTTACAGCTGTATAACTTTAAACTCTCCTTCATTGTCACATTGTGTTCACCCTGTGTGTCACATTGTGTTCACCCTGTGTGTTCACCCTGTGTGTCGTCACATGACCATCTTATAAGGACAGAAGTCACTGGATTAGGATCTCACCCTACTCTAGTATTACTTCATCTTAACTAATTATGCAGATTATATGCAGCAAATAATAACCCTATTTCCAAATAAGATCATATTCTGTGTACCGGGGATAGGAAGGACTTCAACATATTTTTTGGCATTCAACTCAGCAGGAGAGAACTGACATCTTTAAAATATTGAGTCTTTTCATCCAAAAATGTAGGTTGTCAGTTGATTCTCTTCAATTGTTGAAAAGTCAGTAGAGTGTTGATATTTTGAAGTTACTATGCCTGTTTCATAGACTGCATTTAAGATTGTTCCCTTTGTCTCTGATTTTCATAAGTTTGACTGTCCTATCCTGGCTATGCTTTTCTTTGTATTTAGTTTTCTTATGGTTTTGGGCTTTCTGAATTTATGTCATCAGTTGGAAAAATTCCAGTCTAATTTCTTCAAATATTGCATCATTACTGTTCTCTCCTCTTGTTTTGAGACTCCACTTATATGTATGGTTAGACCTTTCAAGTAAGTCATAGAAGTTTCTTATGTTCTAATGCTTTTTTAAAGGAGATAAACTTATATGAAAAAAAAAAGTCTGTAACTAAAGTACAGACTTTAGTTAGTAGTAAAATCCAAGGGTTTTAGGATCTCTGTGTCAGAAACCAGGACAAAGGCCAAATAACTAAAGTCTGTACTTTATTCAAGTTAACTTGATTTTTTCCTAATGGTTTTTTTTTTTCCTGGACCAAGATTCTATCAAAATACTATGTTACATTTAGTCATCATGTCTCCTTAGGCTCTTTTTAGCTGTGATATTTTCTAATCTTTTAAAAAAGTATCATTCTTTTTTTTAACCTCTATGCTTCAATTTGGGTATTTTTATTGCTCTTTCTGTTAGCCTAATTATACCCATCCAATTGAGATCTTACTTGCAGATATTCTCTTCTAAATGCTTTTTTGATTCTTTTTGTTTGTTTCCAAATTACTATTGAAATTTTCCATCCTTATATTTTTGTCTGTCCTTGTATTTTCTTTTCTCTTGATTATCAGTCTATGGTACTGGTTAGAAACCATTGTATCTTTATGAATCTCATTTTGTAAAAATTTTCTATATTCAATGTCCATATTTTTTTGTTTCTTCCTTTTTATGTTTTAGATTTACTCCTCTACTAAATTCTTACTGGTATTTTCCCAACTCAGGCCCTTATTTATATTATACTTTCTTGCTGATTTTTATAACCTTATTCTCTCATTATCCATTTTAGGTGAAATTAACAAGCCTCTTAATCTAAAATATCACTTATTTATCATGTTACTAGTATGACAGAAAACTTCAATTTTCTACTGCCTACTACGTGACATTGAATGTCTCTTTAATTGTCAGAGTTTTTATTATCCAATCTCATTTCACTTTTTGTTTCTATTTTTTTTTACCTCTGCTTTCCAAAGATATACATTTGAATTAGTGTTATTGACTTTTTGTCATGTTATGTATTTTTCTCCATCTTTACCTTTCATTATAGTATGCATTTTATCTGAGTGCTGCTGTTGCTTTTTTCCATGCCTATCAATATTAATCCTTTCATTCTTTAAACTTACATATTAGTCAAGACCTACACTGTATAATCTTTCATTTTATATTATCACTGGTTTATTTTTATTATATTTTGTTCTGTAATTGATGAACAAATTTTGTTTTCTTTCATTATATTCCAGAGGAAAGAGATAACTGTCTTCCACTTAATTCCAAATACTATATCCAAAATCAGAGTATCAACTTCAAAGCAGAAAGCTTCTGAAAAACAAATAGTGTCATGGCATGATTTTAGAAAATTTTCAAGTGATGGTTTCCAAGACTTCGTATTAGAAGAACTGGAATTTAATAATCAATTTGAGAAACACCAGTAAAACAAAATTACAAGGAAACTCAATTCAAGAGGAAGATCCTGAACATAATAATTGTGGAGAAAAAGTGAATCTGAGCTCAGACCTGTTTAAACAACTGAGAGTTTCTAGATGAAAAAGACCTAATAATTGTAATACAAATGGTAGGAGCTTAAAGTATAAGTCTGCTTCAACTGATTTTTTTAAAAGGCAATTTTAAATGAAAAATGGTTTATCTTTTCTTATAATTAATAAGAAAGGAGGCATTTATACCTAAAACCTTACTTATTCTAGAAACTATTTAAATGTAAAGCCATAGTTCAGTAGTAATGGAATCTAAGAAAATTTGTATGAGAGAGAAACGTGAATGTATACTTTGTGATAAAGCATTTAACCGGAACACTAATCTTATTCAACATCAAAGAATGCATACTTTAGAGAAACCTTATGAATGTAATGAATGTGGAAATGCTTTTAGTCAGAGCACTAACCTTATTCAACATCGAAGAGTCCATGCTTGAGAGAAACCTTATGAGTGTAATGAATGTGAAAAGGCCTTTAGTCATAGTTCTTCCCTTAGAAAGCATGAGAAAATTCATAGTGGAGAAAAACCCTATCCTTGTAATGAATGTGGGAAGGCTTTCAGCCATATATCAGCCCTTACTCAACATCACAGAATTCATACTGGAAAGAAACCATATGCATGTATTGAATGTGGAAAAACCTTCAGCTGTAGCACACATCTCATTGAACATTGGGGAATTCATTCTGGGCAGAAATCCTACAAGTGTAAGGAGTTTCAGAAAGTTTTTTTTTTTTTGCCACAGCACATCACTAATTTGACATCAGAGAACTCACACAGGAGAAAAACCCTATTAATGTAATGAATGTGGGAAAGCCGTTAGCCATACCCCAGCCTTCATCCAACATCAGAGGATTCATACTTGAGAGAAACCTTATGAGTGTAATGAATGTGGAAAGGCCTTCAACAAGAGTGCCCATCTCACTCAAAACCAGAGAACTCATACTGGAGAGAAACTGTACGTTTGTAAGGAATGTGGAAAAACTTTCAGCCGAAGTACACTCCTTACTGAACATCTAAAAATTCATTCTGGGGAGAAACCCTATCGATGTAATGAATGTCAAAAACTGTTTTGCTATAGAACATCACTAATTTGACATCAGAGAACTCACACAGGAGAGAAACTCTACCAGTGTAATGAATGTGGGAAATCCTTCATTTGAAGATCACCCTTATGAAACATAAGTGAACACATACCGGGGAGAAACCTTATCAATGTAATCAGTGTGGTGATGTTTTTTGTCATAGTACGTCTTTAATCTGACATCAGAGAATTCATTTCAGAAGTGAAATCCTATCAGAGTAATGAATGCGGGGAACCCTGTAGCCAAAGGTCATCACTTTAACTGGAGCACTCACAGTGTCAAGAAACCTTAGGATTGTCATGCAAGAAAAATTTTAGGCAGAATACTCATTCACTCAATATTATAATATTTCTGCTGAGAAGGAAGACTGTTCTTAATCTGAAAACACTGTAATTAATCTGAAGAATGTGTTATCATTGAGAGAAAAACTTACAGTGGAACTATTCATCCCCCAAACTGAAGTTTTTTTTACACGTATTTGAAAAAATTTATTTTCAGAGATAATTTATTACAAATGTATATATTTCTTTTTGTGGCTAAATAAAATTCCATGTATAGATGTGGTACATTTTGTTATCCATTCATCAGTTGATGGGCATTTTCATTTTTCTACTTTTTGGTTATTGTGAATAATGCTGCTATAAACATTCATGCTGCTATAAATATTTGTATGGACATGTTTTCAGTTCTCTTAGGTATATACCTAGGAGTGAAAATATTGAGTCAATATGTTAACTCTGTGTTTAACTTTTTCAAGGCATGCTAGACTGTTTTCTAAAGCAGCTGCATCATTTTATAAGCCCACCAGTAACATATGAGGGTTCTTATTTTCCCATATCCTCATCAGTACTTGTTTTTCCTGTGAGACATGTATACATACATAAATATACATAAATATGTATAAACACATGTGTGTATTTTCTTTGGAGAAATGTCTGTTCAGATATTTTGCCAATTTTAAATTAGGTTATTGGAATTTTTGTTGAGTTGTAAGAGTTTTTTATATATTCTGAATATTAGATATAGTATAATTTACAAATATTTTCTCCCAGTCTATGGGTTGTTTTTTCACTTTTTGATGATGTTCTTTGAAGCACAAAACATTTTTAATTTTGATTAGCCCAGTTTGTTTTCCTTTGTTCTTTGGTGTAACCTATGTTCATGAAGATTTACATATTTTTCTTGTATGAGTTTTATAATTTTAGCTCTTACTTTTAGGTCAATGATCCATTTTGAGTTAACTTTTTGGTATATGGCAGAGAGGGGTCCATTGTCATTCTTTTGCATATGGATATTCAGTTTTTCTAGCACCATTGTAGAAAAGACTGTTCTTTCTCACCTTGGCATCCTTGTCACTTAATGGAATTTTAAAATGAAATTTAGCACACTAAAAATAAGTATATTGTAATAACTAAAAGAATGTTAAAAATTAGAAACAACAAACGGGGCTTGCCCTCCAAGTAATTCAAATGGTAGTCTTAGGAAATAAAATAGTACACCATGAATGAAACAACCAGAGCTATTGAATTGAAAACATAGAAATATGTAACATGAGAATTTAGTATACAATAACAATATCATCCCAAATCAGAGAATGGGCTAGTCAGTGACACTGGGATAATTGGCTATTTATTTGGAAAAATAATTACCTCATGACATATACAAATTAAATTCCAAAAGGGAGTAAGCGAATGCCATTTGGTGGTAGTTTTCCAGGAAATAAGAGCTGGGCACACAACTCGAGTTTTATTCTGATCCTTCTAGAACCACTATTGGATAAACAAAATTTAAGAAGACTTTGGAAAGTTTTATTATAACCACTGATAGAATTATAATGGCATATCTCACTTCAAATAATTACAAAAAAAAAAAATGGGAAAAGCAAACATTAAGGGGGAAAAAAATTGAAAAGGAATAAACCTAAGACAAAATAACAAGATTGTAACCATTTTAATCTTTTTAAAAAATTACAACTTTTAGATTTACTAACATTTATTGGTCGCTAAATGAAATAGTATAAGGAACTAAGGTGCTAAGATTATCTAACATGGTCACCCAACTTTTAAGGGCAGAACCAGAATTACAGAACAATATACATCTTAAAGATAATTATGCACAACGTTTCATAATACAAAAGTAGAGAAAGATAAACTTGTAGGGCTTATGATGACAAAGCTTATATGAATTTTGTAATGACACTATATACAGGGGCCTATGCCTTATGGTAGAGTCTACAAGTAGGCAGACACAGGAAACTGAAGGCATGTATGTTCATTTCCTAGGGCCACTGTAACAAGTTGCTACAGACTGGGTGGCTTCAAACAACAGAAATGTACCGTCTCACAATTCTGGAGGCCAAGAAGTCTGACATTAATGTCGGCAGGGCCACATTCCCTTTGGAGGCTCTCGGGGACAATCCTTCCTTGTCTCTTTCAACTTCTGCTGCATTACTCTAATCTCTGCCCCTGTCTTCAATTAGCCTTATGTGTCTTTCTTCTCTTCTGTCTCTCATAAGGACACTTGTCATTGGATTTAGGGCCCGCCTGGATGGTCAGCAGTGATATCATCTTAAGACCCTTACTTATAATTGCAAAGATTCTTTTTTCCAAATAAAGTAACATTCACAGGCTCCAGGAGTTTGGACATGGACATACTGTGGGCAGGGAGGAGTACAATTCAACCAACAACAGTACATGAAAACAAGGACAAATCTGAATCATCATTGAGGCAGAACGCAAACAGATGAAGTCATTCTGAGTGTTAGGATAAGAGGTGAGGGAACTCTTGAGGTCAAAAATCCTGGCTCTGTCTGTAGGTTAGAACATGGAATATAAAGTTAGGCTAGGCCAACGATCTTCAAACAGGAATTCCTGGAAGTAGATGGAAACACAAGTAGGTATGGTTTGAATATAATAAATTTCCATATGCTCTTTCCTAAAACTTATTGCCTGAAAATGAACCTGTGTTCATAATAGCTTTTCTCCAGATTTACGTAGGGAATGGTATACTCCTCACCCATCCCAAACTTTATCTCTGCATTACCAAATGAATGGAAATCCCTCTCTGGTGTTAATGAAAACACCATAAAGCCCTCTGGCTTCCTCTGTCAGGGTGAAGTATGCAATTAGAACTAGTGTATTTTGGCCAATGTGAGGATTTTTAAAATGAGATTATGATAGAAGGAGTAGTAGGAGTGATTAAAGTTCTTAAGAACTTTGCTTTTATTTCCCCAACTGTTGCCAGAGATTGTATTGCTCTTGAGGGAAGAATCCCCAAAGAGAAAACGAACATCTGTAGACATGTTAATGCTAAAAAATGGCCTTCTTCAGATAATTAAACAAACAATTATTTTTATCTGTTCTTAATCTTCATCCTAGGGTATGTTTTTAGCTGGAAAGAAAAGTATTTTTGAGTCTTAGCAGTAAATTGTAACACTACTTTGGCCATCCACTTTATGGGAGGTGAGAGGTGGACTGAGACTCAACAAGGATCTCTGAGCAGTGGTGGGTAGATTGGCTGGTTGGCCAGAGGCCCGAAAGGACTAAGATTGGTGTGTGGTGGAAAAGGAAGTGTGGGCAAGAGACATGTGAGATTGTGTCTTGGAAAGAATCCTCTGTAAAGAGGCACTCAACAACCAGGTGTGTACAAGATGACTCAACTAGGAAATGTCAGGCAGGCTCTGTGTTTCTCTACCACAGTGCTTGTGCTTTGGGCTCATGACTTGAGAAACCATAATCTCAGGGATGGACGTGTCACACGGTGCTGCATGAAGGGCCTAACAGCAGGTCTCGATAAAGCTGATCTAACTAACATTGCTGTCAAACGCCTGAAACCTCAGCAGTAGAGACTAAGCCTCTGTGTGGTAAAGGGGTCGCTGGCTGCTTGCTGCAAGTTGATTTTATAATGGGCACTTTCCACCCCAGAAGAGGCAGCGATTTGTCCTCCCTGTGATTGACAACTAACCTGGATGTGGGTTTACATTCATCATCTGCAGTGACTCTAGCTGCATCAGTAATTGAGAGCTTACTGAATGCCTAATTTATGGGTGTGAGATCCGACAAATCATTGCTTCAGATCATTGTACCCATTTTATGGTGAAGAATGTGTGTACGATTATGAAATTTTATGGTGAAGGAGGTGTACGATTATGATATCCACTGGTCTTATCATATGCCATATCGCTTAGAAGCTGCCATTCTAATAGAATTTTGGAAAGGCCTCCTTAAGACTCAGCTAAGGAATGGCACCCTTCAGGGTTAGGGTGCTGTTGTCCAAGTTTTGGTACATGCATGTAAGCTATGCCCCCCAAATTGTTCTCCATTTTTGAGTTAGAAAAACTCAGTTCTTTCCCTCTTGAGTAGGGGAAAATCTAGTTTTCCACCTCCTGTGTCTTTTTCACTCTCACACTACTACCACACTCACATAGAACACTTCAGTTCTGGTCACCAGATGTGTAAGGTTCCCACAGCCCCTCAGGTTCTACTACTCAACATTTACCAGTTGATTAAAGGATACGAAAAAGGATATAGATGAGCATACAGATGAAGAGATACCCATGGGAGGGTCCCAAGCACAGGAGCTTCTGTCCCTGTGGAGTCAGGGTGTGTCACCCTCCTATAGTAGATGTGTTCACCGTCCCAGAAGCTCTCCAAACCCATATTATTAGGATTTTATGAAGGCTTCCTCACGTAGGCATGATCCATTATTAACACCATTTTTAGGCCCTCTCTCCTCGCTAGAAAATTGGTGTGGGGCTGAATATTCTAATCTAATCATGGCTTGATCTTTCTGGTGGCCAGGTGCCATGCAGGAGCCATCCAGGAGCTCACCCAGCATCACCTCATTAGAACAAAAGATGCTCCTAGTGCTCTTATCACTTAGGAAGTTACAAGGGTTTCAGGAGCTCTGTGCCAGGAACTGGGGGCAGAGACCAATGTACATTTTCTATTATCTCACAATCCCTAATAGTTATTCTACATGTTTTCAGAAACCAAGGGTAATATAGAATGAGCTCCTCTCACCATCACCCCCAGAATCCCACTTGTCCTTTTCCCACGAACTTAGGCTGTGTTGGTTGAGATGTCCTATTTCCTGGGACAGGAGGGCCATGGAACATGAGGCTATGACTACGGCTTGGTCTTTAGTCCCTCATGTCAATAGATGGAGATACTGGTGAGTAAACTCTGTGGCCCCAGCCATCAGATGGTTTCTATTTGTCTTT